AACAAAAAAAAGATACAGTCTTGGGTTGAATTTCTAAAAGGCACACTATGCAGGACTGAACACAGTAAACAATACTACCATTTGCTGACCCACTGGTTCTCCAGGCCTTGTGTTAGGGCTTTGGAAATGGTACATTATTTAATATTTACAATAACTCTATAAAGTAGGTATTATTTACCCCATTTTGTACATATGAAACTGAGGTTTAAAAAAGTTAAGAATCTTACCCAAAGCCACCATAGTAAGTGGGATATTAAAACCTTCACATGTCTGACACCAAATACCATGCCCTATTAAATTATGTACTACTAAATTACAAAATGCTAAATTAGCTTAAAAACAAACATTTAAATACTATAAAACATCAAATGTTAGTAAAACAGTATTTGAGACTAAACATACTAGATTTAAACCCCTTTTTCTTTTCCAAGTGAACAGCCCTTACCTATCTAATTTCATTCCCGTAACTTTGATTTCATGAACTCACTACTCCCAACAAATCAGTTTCCTTATAGCTCTCTGATGTTGCAAAATTTCATGCCCACATTTATTTTTATGCATGCAGTTTCTCCTATTCAAACATCCTATCTAATTAACTATACTTTCTTAAAATTCCAACTCATTATATAATACCTGGCACAAATGAACTTTTCCTTCTCTGAATTTTCACTGCCACTAACCGTTACATAGATACCTGCATAATCCTGAGAATTCTGTACACCTGTGTATCTTGCTTAATTTCTAGATTCAAATCCTTGTTTCACCACTTAACACCACAGTTTTTAACCAAAACAGAATCACCTGGGCCCACAATCTGAAGATTCTGAATTATTAAGTCTGGGATAATATATTTGTAAAAAATATCCTTTGCACACTTCCTTCCTATCCCTACTCTCTATGAGACCTGGAAACTGTACATGTTATTTTATACTGTTTAGACCTATTTTCTTCTCTTCAAAATGAGGATAAGAATCTACTTCACACGATTATAATCAGGACTAAGTGAGATTTCATATAATCCATAAGCCTAGCATTGTATCTGGCACATACTAAGTGTTTAATAAATGTTAGTTCAGGTATTTGACAAGAAACTCCATCATTTTTTTTCCTATTCCCTTCGTGCATGTATACAACACCTAACATAGTAATAAGCATGTAGCACTAACTTAATTACTTGGTGACATGACATTCATACCCGTCTCTTTTGTGCTTTTGATATCCGAGGTGGCTGATTCTCAAGAACCAAGTTTGAAATGTTAACAGCAACAGAATCTATCTGAAGGAAACAAAAGCATTACCAAGTTAATGAAAAATACTTTTAAGTTATTATTCAAAGTATTAGATTATTAAATTATTGAAAATCACACAAAAAAAGAAAATCACAGGTATATGTAATACAATTCAAATTTGAATAACAGCACTAGGTACAATATTACATGAAGTGGCTTTGTCTCCTATTTCTATTTTTAAGGGAGAATTCATCAGATTCCCAAAAAGTTTCCTTAGAGCTCTCCAAAGATAACACTCATCCCTGCAGGCTTTCCTTCCTTGAAATTCCTACTCCGTTAATCTAAATATTTCCTATAAGTGTCAACTCATTCAGCAGTTCATCCTTCCCTTCTCTAAATGCTGAGAGTACTTATAGGATATTTAAGATCCTGTGTTAAGGTGCTTGAGTGGCTCAGTTGGTTAAGTGTCAGCCTCTTGATTTCAGCTCAGGTCATGTCAGGTTCCACACTCAGCGGGGAGTCTGCCTGTCCCTCCCCCTCTGCTCCTCCCTCTGCGTGCATGATGCCCACGCTCGTGCTCTCTTTCTTAAATAAATAAATAAAATCTTAAAAAAAGAAAAAATAAGGTCTTGTGCTGGATCAGTTCATTACCACCTTCATAATCTCAAATGCGTATTGTATGGTGACTAACATAATAAAATTTAAAAAAATAATAAGAAGAATCTCAAATGTGGCAGGAAAGATCTTTTCCCATCTCAATTAGCCAGAACCTGATGAACACTGTTGAGCTTTCTCTATCCTCTCCCATCTACAAACTGATAACTACAGGTAGAAAAGTTAATGTATTGTTTAGATATCACAACAAATCTTAATCATCAAATGGCTATCATGTGTCTGCTGAAGGAAGAAGAAAGATGCTAGACTAATGATCAGGGTTAGTACTAGTATTTTATTACTGCAATGTAACTTAAACTAGTTTTTAGTATGACACATGCATAAAGCATATAGAGGCCTCTCATAACAAAAGAGATAGTAGGCTCCAAGGCTACAACCAAATTATCAAAATATCAAAACCAGATTAAGACTTCAGAGTATAGTTACATCAACTTTAATAAAATTAGTATCCTTATATTTTTCAGAGGAATCTGCTAAAATCTACAAACTGCCATACTGACAAGAGGCAAGATACAGAGAAGCATCTGGAAAGCAATGACATGAGAATTCAGATAGTGTTCAGAAAGAAAACAAGCTTAAGTTAATGAAAAAGATAACAGGTCAAAGTAAAATGGGACTTTGTATTTTAACAGTTGAACAATATGTAGCTTAAGAATCAAGCATTTTTGTCCTTGGAAACCTAGGAAAGAAATCTCAAAACTGAAAATTGGAGAGCAAATAAAACTATCTCACTAATAGAAAAGATGGGGAGATAATTAGGAATACCATGATTGTGACAACAAAAACAAGTGGAGCATCATGCTTTGCCACTTGGAAATAAAATATGTTAAGTCATGGAAGGCCAGAAGCTTAATGACTTGCTAATAAGGCTAAAGAAGATGAGATTATGTTTCATATAAAGACCATTGTAAATCAGTACAGACAAGTTTTCCCTCAACTGCAGACCAAAAATAAACCAAGTAAAACTAAGTTATGGTAGATAAAATTTTGTACAGCCATAAGAACTTTCTAACTATCAAAAATGGAGTAAGATTATGGAGTCTGTGATCCTTGATATCCAAACTCATGCGATAAACTACCATACCACACTAAGTCATAACAGAATTCAGATTCACATCTTGGAGTAAGATAGTCCTGATTTTGAATTCTGCCTTTGGCATTTAAGAAGGAAATTCTTAATCCCTGAGTCTATTTCTCTCTTGAAAAATGGGATTATCTACATTTACTTCATGGGTAATACCTCATAGTGTGTTACCATGAAAACTACATGAGAATAATGCACATGATATGTTAAAGTGTTTGGCATATAATATCTGTTAGCTACAATGATAAAATAAGTATTAGTTAAAATGACAGTATGCTCTAATTTACCCAGGAGACAAAAGTAAATTTTCATTCATTACAACTTGTTCATAAAAGCACATTTTATAACCTGAACATGATTTCATATTTGCTGTCCCATTTGATTCTTACAGAATCTTGTGCTTAAACAGCAGAAGTATTTGTATCATATTATATGTGGAGAATTTTATGCTCAGGAAGTTTTAAGTAACTTTACCAAGGTTACAATACTATTTAATGGCAGTTCTGGGGCTAGAAGTCTGATCTTCCAAATTCCACTTGGTGAGGCTTCCTCTCGTCCACTTTATCAATATGTTCATTTTGGGGGCACGTACATAGTTGAAGCGTACTTTTTTTGCTGACCTCCCTTACACATTACCAAGTAAACCTGGTCACAGAAATATTAATGAAAGATGATGCATGAGCATGATTTTGTGACTTCCTTTCCCTCTAATTTTATGATTTCATATAGTGAACAGTTTATTACAGGTGGACAGTTGCTTTCAAAAGCTGTAGGCAAAAAGAAACATCACTTCACATACTTTACTTTCCTTAGAATTCAGCTTCAGTTGCTCCAGTTCTTCTTTATGTTTCTGTTCCATTTCCGCTTCCAACTTAGCAACATCTTCAGTGAGTTGCTTCCTCCTCTTTTTGTCATTCTTGGGAACAGCATTCTTCATACCCTGAATTTTGGCTGAAAATCCACCAAAAATCATTAAGTCAACAACCCAGAGATTAAGAGGAAATGACAAATAGGGGCAATAAGGGGATGATAAGAGAAGTGTGTAGACGAGTAATGATGTAAGCCAAGAAGAGTACGTAACAATCGGATATTTACAGAGAAGAACCCAGATGAAGAAGAGACAAAACAAACAAACAAGCAAGCAAAAAACCTCACTAACAAAAACGCACGTCTGTTTGGTGTGATAGGAGGAGGGGAAAAAATGACTCTGAGTTTTAAATCTCTCAAGCATCCCTTCTGAGTCCTCAAAACTGAGGTATTTCAAAACGCGTCCATTAGCGCCCAGTATCAGTAACTGATTAGGAACAGGAAAGGGAGACGGGAGAGGGAGAACAATCTGGGCCCAACACGAAATTCTCAGACACCAGCACCGGCTGTGGCGTGGGATAGTGAGTACGCGGTGGACCTGAGAAAAGGAATTTCTAAAGATCTGGCGGATTAAGGGACCACCGGAGCAGGGGATTAGGAGGGGTGAGGCCATCGGCTACTTTGGGAAAGTCTAGGAGGATCCAGATCAGAAGCCTCTCGGGATTCCCTAGAACCGACCCACCACGCGCCCTTTCCTGGATCCGAGAGACTTCTAGGTTCCCATTCCCTCGTCACCTTGCAACTCTTTCTTCTCTTTGCGATGCCTTCTCACTAGCTGCTCCTCCTCATCAAGCTCCTCCGCCAAGATTGCCTCCATGACGACCAGATAGCCCTGCACATGCGCTGGTAGAAACCTGCACCACCGACTACCAGGCACTTTCCACCCCTCAACCTTCACCTGGGGTTCCATTGGCCGTGGCTGGGACCCAGTCCCGCCTTCGAGGCGGTACCGGATCTAAGCCGAGTCATTGGACCCAAGATGGGATGGACGCATGCGCACTCCCATGACCCCTCTGATGAGGCGGGGCGGCGGGGGAGGAGCGCGAAAACGCGTGGGGGTGTGGCTTGGTTCGCTGGAGTTTGCTGCCTCCCGATTGGCTAGCGCGCTATAGCTCCCCAGCAATAAAGCTAAGCATCAGGCTATTGGCTCTGACGTGAGGCGTGCAGTGCTGACGTGACGGGAACCATTTTGGACGTTGGTTTTATTTTGTAAGGGGCTTCGGAAGGCTTCCTTTAATCTTTACTTTTGGTCCCATTGCCAAGAAGAGTTGTTCAAAAGGTAAGCAAGAAGAAGAAAATATTTCAATAAACCTGTTAATAATTACCAGTGGGAGTCTTTGGGCTGACTCGGTCAAGCGGTAGAGAATTAAGTTTTGTTTATTGTTTTAAAGGTCGTAATACCTGAGTTCGGAAGAAACAGCTTACCATAGAGAAAATGCCGCCTCTTGAAACGGATATAGCAGTGGAAACAGAAGAGAGAGTAAGGTTTGAGCATCGTGTAACACAGGAGCTTAAAGATCTATGCTCATTGATAAAGAGGCTAGTGTCAGAGTGCTTGGAAAGGAGAGAGAGAGAGATAACAGAAATGTGCAAGCCTGATCGGTCACAAAATCGAATTACCGAAGTAAATGCAAAACAAGAGAAACATGCAGAAAAAAAGGAAAAATAAAAGAGAAGAGAAATCTACAGGATCGATCCAGGAGATACAATCTACACGTAATAGGAATACCTGAAACGGGAAAGCAAATGAAGCTGAAACAGTAAGGACCTAATTGAAGAAAATGCTCCAGATTCGAAAAACGAACTAAATCTGCAAATAGAAAAAGTTCATAGAGTATCAGTAAAACAACGAAAAGAAAGCAACACCTAGATCTAGCCCAGTGACGTTTTTAAACTGGAAGGATAAAGAAAAAATTCTACAAGTATTCAGAGAAAGCAGGTTACCTGTAAAGGGGTAAAAGTCAGACTGACGCGATTTTTCTCTTGCAACTCTAAATGCCGAGAGTATCTACAGCTTTAAGGGAAAATGATTTTGAACTTAGAGTTATATATCCTGTCAAGTTATCGTTTCTAAATGAAAGCAACTGGAAGACATTACTAGATATGCAGGGGTTAAGAAAGTTTATCAGCCAGATACCATTCTTGAAAAATTTGCTAAATGATGTTACTGCAGAGCACAAAAACAACTCGAGTAGTGAGGCAATTGTATGGAAAAAAAAATGGGTAAGCCTTAAAGCTAGTTAAATATCATTAAAGATTAAATTGTTATATGTAGGGTTATAAAACTAAATGCAAAGATAAATTCTTGAGTTGGGTCTAAAATTTCAGTTTGTCTTGTTTTAAACCGAAAAGGTGTGCTAAATGTTCAATGCAGACAGCAAGTAAGTACTGTTTTTAGTATGTAATGTAGATAAAGATATGCATGCTCTTCAGCTAAATAAATAAAAAGGGCTTTGTTACTGTGGTGGGCAGGACACCTAGAGTAAAGGCATTCCAAGTGTTAATCTGATAAAATGGGACAATTGGTACAGTTTTGTGTCCTTTATTTTTAATTATAGAGGGGGGAAAAGTAACAAGTTTGTTTATAATGTTAATGCTGACAATGTAAAGAAAATTTCCAAATCCCTGACTGGGGAGGTGGTAGATGAAAACCTTGTTTTATGTACATCTTGCCTAGGGAAAATCAGTAGTAACCACTTGATGTAGTAGTTCATTCTAAGTAAATTTGACGTTGAGATAAGTGTTACAGATAAAAGAGGAGAGGAAATGGTGAAAAAACAAAAACACTAAGAAAACATTAAAATTAGCACAAGATAGACTAACAGAGATAACAGGTGAATTATCACGCTTATAAACAGGCTAAATATCCCTGTTAAAAAGATTCAAATTGGGTCAAAAATCAGTCTCTGAACCTGGAGGTTTACATTTGTGTAAAACAAAGGATAAAGGAATTTAAAGATAATGGAAACTGTTAAAGCATAGAAAATGAAATAGGGAGCAACATTTTTATCAGAATTTAAGCTATAACAAAGTATAAAACTGTAGGATGTAGCATTTAAGAAGCTTTATGTGGTAAATAACCTGGCATTCATCTGTAAAATGTTCAGTATCTTGATGTGAGTGGTAGTTTTACTGCTGTATATATAGTTAAGTGCATTCTAAGTACTTAATAAAGTAATTCTTAATTCAAATACATGTGGCAGTACATATATTGGAGACTGACTTCACTTACAGTCTTTAGTAAAGTAAATGAAAAGGGATAAACTAATTAGGAGGGGTGTGAATATGTGTATAATATGTATTACTTTGCTACTTCATTTACATTCTTTTCAAACTGTCCTGAAACATTTCTAAATGATCTTGTGCTAGGATACAGAGAGAACTTTAATCTATGAGCACATTGCACAAATGACTACATTGCAAGAAAGACTAGAAACTAAATTTAAAAGCTGAAAAATCATATTCTTGGAATTTTGGAATGTTCTCAAATAACTTGGGTCAAAGAGAAAATTGTAACAAACACTTATAATTTAGGAAATGCTACAATAAGGATGTTACACATTATTATGTTATGGAATGGGTGTACAAAAGGCAAGGAACAGGGAATGAAAACATTAGGTGAAGAATGGAATATGCACCTAGATAGACTTAGTAACTGGAGTTTGTAAATTTTGTTACCTTCCAATCTTAAGTAGTGGATATTCTCCAATATAAGCTATTTAAGTGCCACAATTAACATCTTGGTGACAGATTTCTCCCAAATGAGTTTTAACATAAGTTCTAAAAGCTCATTTTCAAAGGAGAAGCCAAAGTCTTCTCAGCACCACAACCCCCACATTCACACACACAGGTTTTGTCTGTTTCTTAGACCTCCATATAATACTTCTTGCGGTACGGTTTTTATATTGAAATTATTGTCCTCAGAAAAGCAATATCAGCATTGCCTGGGAGCTTGTTAGAAATGTATCTCAGGTTAATAGCAGCATGGAATTAGATTATAAAATACATTAAACATCTGTAAACTTTTTCACTGAACATAATGCACTGTACATTATGAATGCTTAATAAATGTTAAAATAGTATTAAAATCTAGAAACAGTTTTGCCGAAGCAGTGTTACTATATGAAAGTTTTTGCATTTGAATTGTAAGTCACATTTTCCAAATATTTCAGGGCAAGACTGGTACTTTCTGTTTTCCTTCTGTCTTGAAAATTTATAAAGTTAGGACACAAGGAAAATTTCAAGTCAAACAATCCAAATTAAGAAATGTTGAAGGAGTACAACTTAAAAATGGTAAATAAAGAATGAGCCTCTCAAATAATAATAATAACATAATAGGTCTCTCTAGTGAATAAGATAACCTTGGGGTGGATTTAAATTCAAGTCATGTGCAGATAGTTCAAGGGTTCTGGAAGAAATCAAAGATTATAAAAGCTGTAAAAGGCCTTCATTAACTATAGCTTGGTGACAAATGATAAATAGTATTAGCAATAATTGGAACAGCGGCTCTAGTACATTACAGACAGGACTTACTTGGATTCTCCAAGGTTGTACTCTCCTGAAGGTGATAACATTTTTGTATTAGTAAGGATGGGTTGGAATTTGCAAACCAGTTGCCTGAAGATATATTAAGATGCAGATACAACATTTGGGGTAAAGCTGAGATTGTGTATTTCTTAGAAGTACCCATGTGTTGATGCTGCCAGTCTGGATACATAAGACACTTTCAAGTAGAAAAGTAAGATCTTCACTGTGTCTATTAACCGTGAAAGTGAGGCTCAGAAAGTAATTGGCTTAAGGCCGCATAGTAAATATCAGAACCAAATCTGATTTCAAGGCTGTAATTTTCTCATCTATGTAATCTTACCTCATCCACACTACAGCACCTACTTAGAAGATTGTTGTGAGGATAAACTTCTGGTTTATATGATAAGGAAGAAAGCTCATTACTTCAGTTAAGGTACATACACAGAAAAGAATGGCTTATGGAGGGAAAAAATGAGGTTTGTTTGTAACATACCGATCATGATTTGTGACAGGAAGATTTGTGGAAAAGTCAGACAGGTATTTGGAAATTCAGGTCTAGAGCCAGAAGAGATGTCACGATTGGAAATTTAGGTTTGAGTTTTTTTATTTGAAAATGGTATTTGAGGCCATGAGAAATCACCCTGGAAAGGATGGTAAGAAATAGAAGGGAAAAGGAAAGGAGATTAAACCATAAGGGACACCTGTATTTGATGGGTAGGTATTACAGAAGAATAGAAGATTGAGATTTATAGTTCCAGTCGAATTTAACATCAAAAACAACGCACGCTATTGTCAGCCCTCTACTTAGCGACGGGTAATACGGAGCATGCGGCTTTTATCTTTGTACCAAAATTGTTTTTAATTTGTAATTTTAAAACTTAAAAATAATAATGGCACACCCATTGTTCTAAATATGCTAATATGTAGTTCCCTGCGACATAGTTGATTTTTGTTACTATAGTTATTTCTATAAAGTCACACTGAATTAGCAGATACTGTATCATTGCATCTGGGGCAAGGATAGGATTAGGTTCCCGTGAACCTCTGGTCACATAATTTGCATCAACTGATCAATACATAGTCTTGTTTTAAGATACAATATCTGTTGTTGGTTCACCAACATTAAACTCATAGCCAACAGCACTGTAATACATGGCCTGAACAAATCTTACCTAACTAAGGCACATCAGAGCCTTCTTGTACTTAGGAACAAGCACTACCTAGCCGTATTCTTGGATCATTTTAAACAGCAAAATCAAGAAAAGGCACAAAAATGCGAAAAACACTAAATACATCATGAAAAGGGCACTTGTTTGCAGCATGAGAGCTGAGATAAGACTGTCACCTTGTCTCACTTTATCTGAGCCTATCTATACATGTCAGATGACAAATTTGCACATGTACATGCCCATGAAAGCACCATAAGTATTGATTCGGGGGTTTACTGGTAAATTTTAGTAAACAAATTAACATACGTAACCTGCAAAAAATGAATATGGATTATAATTCAACGTTTTTGTTAAGTATTTCCAACTGGAATTGGGAAACCATATTTACACTAAAAGCCAAAGAATGCAGCTTTGAGAGGGTACAACACTGATGACTCCCACAGAATTAAGGATCACTGCAATGGTCCTGAAAGACTTGTACATGATCACCATGAACACAGTGGTTTTTGCTTCGTTCCTTTCTGTTGGCTCTGAGCCAGGAAGTCTGGATTCCTAGCAACTGTTATTTTGCTGTTTTGTCTGGGACAGCAAGAGGAGAATGTTCGCAATATGGAACAGAGCCAGGTTGAGATCTAGACTGTTGTCCCAAATATTAATTTCAAAGAACTCTCAACAAGACTAAATGACAGTATAAATCTATATGCCAAAACGGTACAGAAAATTTGAGGGTTTGTCTTTTTTGTTTGACCAGACTGCATAATTGAGCGATATCATGCAACCAATTATGAAATGAGATTGATATTCAAGAGTCACACACCCAGCCTCAGAGCTCATAAGGGTTAGTACACTGCTGAAGGAAATTGGGCCTTGGTTTGTTTTGTTTTGTTTTTTAAGATTCATTTTAGTGAGAGAAAGCAGGAGCAGGGGGAGGGGCAGAGGGAGAGAGAATCTCAAGCAGACTCCCCATTGAGTGCACAGCCCAATGCAGGGCTCAATCCCACAACCCCGAGATCATGACCTGAGCCAAAACCAGGAGTTAGATAGTCAACCGACTGAGCCACCCAGGCTCCCCTGGGTTAGTTTTAATTAATTGGCAATTTTAAGCCTCTCATCCTAAAAGCTCATAGTAATAATAATAATAAAAAAAACAGTATATGTCTTAGTCTTAGGTGGCCATAAAATACCACAGCCTGGGTGTCTTAACAGATTTATTTCTCAGAGTTCTCAGGACTGTGAAGTCCAAGATCCACGTGCCAGCCAACTCCATTTCTGATGAGAGATCTTCCTGGCCTGTAGATACCTGCCTTCTCACCATCCCTCCACTTGGCAGAAAGAGAGGGAGGGAGAGAGGGAGGGAGAGAGGAGGCAGAGAGAGCATGCTCTCTGGTGTCATAAGGACACTAATTGTATTGGGTTAGGGTTCTACCCATATGACCTCGTTTAACCTTAATCCCTTGTTTATTCCAAATACAGCCCCCCCAACATATGAATTTTTTGTGTTGGGGGGGCACAATTCAGTCTTTGGTAATATGGGAAGGCAATACAATTTAATGCAGCCTAAAATAACTGCTAGTTTACCGACACTGAGCTTTTAGGCAGCAGCCTATCTTAGTTGTTATGTGCTAAATGTTTTATAATTATAAAAATGTGGAATGAAAACTTGAAATTTTGAGTGTAAGAGCTTTTTGGTTTCTGAAAAAAAAAATTTAACTGGACTTCTATATTGTTTTCTCTCAAGAATTGCAAGTATTAAATTTTCATAATAGGGCGGCTACGATTGCTAAAATGGACACTGGGGTTTTTATAAAGTCCTTTTGTATATTACTCTCTTGTTTAAAGCTCAAACAATTCAATAAGATAGGGAAAAAAAACTATTACCATTATCAAGTGTCTATTAGAGACAAAGTGAGGTCCGAGAGGTTTGAAATGGAGCAAACAGTATAATAGTAAAGAAATGATCAAAAATGTATTTCAGTGTGATTAACTTACTAACATTTTTTGAACATGGCTTAATAATTCATAGCAAACCCATCAACTTCACTTCTAGAAGTTTATCCTGGAAATACAATAGAAAAGTATACAAAATTTATAATATTGAAAAAAATAGGGAATGATGTGTATGTTCAGATTTAAGGGCTTAGTTAAATACATTAACAGGTGAGCGCCTGGGTGGCTCAGTTGGTTAAGCGACTGCTTTCGGCTCAGGTCTTGATCCAGGAGTCCCTGGATCGAGTCCAGCATCGGGCTCCCTGCTCAGCAGAGAGTCTGCTTCTCCCTCTGACCCTTCCCCCTTCTCATGTGCTCTCTCTCTCTCTCTCATTCTGTCTCAAATAAATTTAAAAAAATTTAAGAAAAAAAATACATTAACAGGTAACTGCTAGGAAAGAGTAAGCTCTATATTAATTGATATGGAAAACACCTAATGACATGTAGTAAGAAAAAAAGCCAATTAACAGCAAATATTGTAATACTTATTGTACATGTTTGTG